AACACTGATGGGAGATGGGCAAAGTAAAACAGGAAGTACACAGAGGTTCAAACAGGAGGAGAGAGAGCACGGGGAGAACGCAGACATAACGGGCTGGGGAAAACATAGAATAAAACACAAAGAGAGACGAGGGCTCATAAATACACAGAGGGGCACACAGGGGGTAAGAGTCACGAAGGGAAAACACATAAGGAACAACGTAACAGATCAACCCAGGAAGTATGGCCTAAATAAAGAACAAAATACAAAAATACATGAAAACTAAGAATACTGGGCCCACATGGCCCAGGACCATGACAAATACTTCACAATTAGGGTTACACCAGTGAGTCAAAATGCACAGCTGTGCTTCTCTGTGCTAATCCTCCATGCAAAGCACAGACATCCCCCCTGTATCCGTATGTAGCCCTAATGCCTGAAATTTAATCCTTGATTCTTGCTCTCCCCAAATGAAAACAGCAGTCGCCTCAAGATGCTTAATATTCAAGGTAAAGACCCTACAATAACAGAAAGGACGCAATTGTCATTTCTCCTTTAATTATTGCTGATAAGCGGTTTATTAGCTAATCATGATTTAAAAAAGAAATATTAGTGTAGGCAATGTATTCATTTTTACCTCACAGCCATAAAAGGCTAATGAGTTATTGTTGTCACCCTGCTGGGTGGACAGCGTGGGCACCTAATTCTGTGAATGCAATGACCTGAGAACAACGTAACATCATCTATTATAGGTGCATCTACAAAAAAATCTTACACAAGTTCAAAACTAAATAAATAAGAGTCAAAGGTCAGAGGTCAAGTTTTTTGAAAATCTTATGATTGTAATAACTCAACTTCAAATTGATACCATAGTTGCATTTACTAAAACTCCTGGACACGTTCAAATCTCAGTGATCTTGACCTCAAGGTCAGGGTAAGTTTTCCGAAAACCTTGTGAGTGTGATAACTTGAGAACAAGGCGACATAGAATTCTGAAATTAATACCATAGATATGGCTAATAGGAGGCTGAGGAGTAGCACTGACAGTGTCTAGTATGGTCTATGAAACCATTGGAAGTACAGCAGAAAATGTTGGCTATTCTCGTTCTTTCTTTGTGATCATGTTCTTTGACATTACATTACAATCGTCGAACCTTCTTGATTGGTGTGTCAGTTAGACACAGGGAACACTCACTTAGTGTCTTTGTTTCTTTGAAATCCCCGTAACTTCTACTTGATGTGGCTCTATCAGCACTGGCGTGATGTCAAATCTTCTGTTTCCCAGGAGTGATATCTCAGTTTCCCCGTAGTTGTAGTTTTTACGTTGCTCTTAACGCCTAGACAATCTGAAGGTACTCCCCTCTTTTTCATTTTTTCCTCCATTGGCTCAGGTGTGCCAATGTAAATGAAAAAACACTCTGAGCCCTAGCATCTGGGAACGGAGTCCGTTTTCTTTAAGTGGTTTTTTTTATGCTGGTATGAGTCTTTCTTTTCATGAGATTTGGTCAGGTACTCTTGATCCACAAACTTTCTTCTCCCATTTTGTAGAGTCTTGGCTTTTTTGCTATTCTTTGGTTTTATATTCCAGGAAATAGGCACAGACAGACACTGGTTTGGAGCCTTAGGGTGGTTTGGGTCCCAGTGACTGGCATCAGGACTGAACACCAAGTATCATGACTTCTAGTCTATCCAGTAAATCCAGGTCCAGCTTTTATTACACCTACACATTTTTGTTTACCCAGCCTTATATTATCGCATCAAGCTACAGTAAGATCCACCATAGCACAGATACTGATCTTAGTATATCACAAGAAAACATAACATGCAAATACAACTGATTTCTTTTTTTTTTCCCCTTTTTTGAACATGTATTATATGTGTATGTGTTGCTTTCAGTGATTTATAGATCAAGGACTTATTTACTTGTATTACATATCTTGTTAGGGCTTGATGTGATCGGGTCCAGGTAGACAAGCATTGCGGGAGCTCCTGTACCCAGATATGCGCTCCAGCATGTAGTTTTGTGGTTTCAGTACAACAAAGATTTGGTATCTTTGTTGTACTGAAACCTCTGGCATCATTGGCATGCCGCTTTCTTTGCTTGCAATTTGTTCTAGGGGTCACTCTTGGATTGTAGGTATTTCACTGGTCTTTGTTGTCCTCTCTGGGTTTTGTGCATATCCAATTTGTAGTTTAAACTGTCTTTTTAGCTGAAGCATTGGTCTGGGGGCTTTGAGGACTTGCTGTGACATGCTGAAAATCCAATGATTCTGCAAACTTCTCGTGAGCTGTAGCGTGCCCTGTTGTCACTTCAAACTGTTTTTGGGAGGTCATGTCTGCCAAATACTCCCTTTATTTTGGGGACGAGAGCAGCTCCGGCGATGTCATCTTTGGATTTTTCGACACCCAACATCCAGAAAAATATTATAAACAACTAAAGCTCACTGCTGCACATTGAGGATTCTGATTGTTTCTTTGGTTAAAGAAGCAATTGTTATTGCAACTAGATGAGGTCATGACCAAGAATGACCAAGCTAAGAGAAGGAAACACTGCTGATGGCTAACTAACTGGACATAGTGATAGTGGACAAGCAGAGGACCAGTGACAGATCTAACTATACCAAGTGATAGAAACATCAAGTTGCTCTAGTTTGGATCCCATCTGAGATCTCTTTAACATTGTCAGGGAAATGTGGATGTACTAATTAGGTGATTAAGGAAACAGAAAATCTGTTGGAAAGTCCCTTTTACACTGCCGAAGCTGCGGCTCCTCAAATCCAGAAGACAGCAAGAACACTTTGATCTGGGACAATCAAGCAAGCAATTTCCACAGCTACATTAATAGGCTAGGACACATCAACGTTAAATGTTTCAATGGATCCATTTTAAAGTTTCAGAGCTTTAAGTCATATTTCTAAGCCATCACCTTAGAAACAAACAGCATCACAGAGGGCGCCCTTATTATTGATATAATTAACTAGAAATAAAATGTTATTGTAAGACCCTACAATATTACATACAGAGAAAAATCCAACAATCATATGACCCCCTATGAGTGAGCACTTTGGCAACAGCAGGAAGGAAAAACTCCCTTTTAACAGGAAGAAATCTCCAGCAGAACCAGGCTCAGGGAGGGGCGGGGCCATCTGCTGCGAACAGTTGGGGTGAGAGAAGGAAGACAGGATTAAAGACTGTGGAAGAGAGACAGAGATTAATAACAAGTATGATTCAGTGATTCAGAGGTCTGTTAACACATAGTGAGTGAGAACTATATTCTTTAGCAAAAAGGAAGCAAAAAGTTTTAAACCTAATCTTAAAAGTAGAGATAGTGTCTGTCTCCCGAATCCAAACTGGAAGCTGGATTCACAGAAGAGCGGCCTGAAAACTGAAGACTCTCCCTCCCATTCTACTTTTAAATACTCTATGAACAACATGTAAGCCTGCAGTGCAAGAGCGAAGTGCTCTAATGGAGTGATGTGGTACTACAAGGTCATTAAGATAAGATGGGGCCTGATTATTTATGACCTTGTATGTGAGGAGCAGGGTTTTGAATTCAATTCTGGATTTAACAGGGAGCCAATGAAGGGAAGCCAAAACAGGAGAAATATCCTCTCTCTTTCTAGTCCCTGTCAGGACTCTTGCTGCGGCCTTTTGGATTAACTGAAGGCTTTTCAAGGAGTTTTTAGTACATCCTAATAATAATGCTCAGGTGGACGATAGGTTTTTGAGTTTTCCAGCTGGGGTGGACAAAGCTAAGCATCAGGCTTTCCAGTGAATTAAAAGTCTGTTTTGGTCTTTGGTTGATTAATTAGCTGGTGTGGAAAATTGCTGCCACACCGCCACCTCGACCTGTGCTTCGAGGTTTCTGATAGTTGGTATGACTCGGGGGTGTTGATTCTAATTCTAATAATCACCCTGCTGTAACCAGGTTTCTGTAAGGCAGAATAAATTGATTTGTTGATCAATTGTTAAGTCATGTACTAACAGAGACTTGGAAGAGAGAGACCTAGTGTTTAATAATCCACATTTCACTGTTTTACTCTGTGGTGCAGATGTGGATACTGTATTGTTCTTTCTTTGTGATTTTTATTAATCTTTAAATCATTTGTTGTTGTTGTTTTGTTTGTTTGTTTTTTGTCTGTTTGGGAGCTGACACAGTCTTTAAGGGGATGGGGTTTGGGGGGATAACAGGAGGAGAGAAGCTGCAGAGAGGCGTGTAAGACTGTAACTCTGCATCCTGGTCCCAACTCTGGATAGTCACGTTTTGGGGGTTTAATAAATTTGGCCAGATTTCTAGAAATAAGAGCTGCTCCATCCAAAGTGATGGATGAATGCAGTCTCTCCTAACAAGACCAGGTTTCCTCCAGAAAGTTTCACAATTATCTATAAAGCCCACATCGCTTTTTGGACACCACTCAGACAGACAGCGATTTGCTAGAGCATTCATTTCTTCTCCTTTTTACCACAGTGGTGCATGTTTCTGTAACACTTTTTATGTTGTTTATATATAATGTCTCTGTAGTAGATGGCACTCATTAGGTTGGCTGCATAATATTCTTTCACAATTCATTTGTTTCAAACTAACATTGCCCATATCCATTCATTTTAGTCTTTAATCTTAGTTATTTGTTTAATTGTGTAGTCATTAACATGTTTGCTTAGCAAGCAAAGGTTGCTGATTTGATTCCAGCCAGCGAGATAAATCCCCTTTTGGAGTTTTATCAGTAATGGCATCCGGTGTAAAAACTCTCAAATCAAACATCTGTCGCAATGAAGCAGCTGAAAGTAGCTTTTTTGTGCCTTTTCTTCTATTTTGATTATTTGTTTAAAATGAGTTAATTAAAGTCATAAAGTATTCAGTCAGTTTATACTAGTTTAAAATAAAACTGAATGTAGAACTAATGTTAAATAATTAATTTGGTACATATCAGACTCCATACAACAGTTGGAAAGTCTTTGGTCTTAAAGCTGAAAAAATGCTTATCCTTTACGCAGTGTTTTTATTTTCCTTATTTTGCCAGGTCAAGCTTCCTTTTCCTGTAGATCAAATCACAAATCTTCCAAGGAATGACTTCCAAATGCTGGTGAAAATGCACAAACTGACTTCAGAGCAACTTGAGTTTATTCATGACATCAGGCGGCGGAGTAAGAACCGCATCGCAGCACAGCGTTGTCGCAAGAGGAAGCTCGACTGCATCCTCAACTTGGAGTGCGAGATAAGAAAGCTGGTGAGTGGATTGATTGTTCTAACACACTGTCATTAGCCGTCACCCAGTGAGAAGCTGCTCTCTTCTTTGGACACGGACTCACCTTAATCATAACCATTTCATTATAATCAGTAACATTTTATTCTCCTCAGCACTTTCAAACCATTGCTCTCCAATGACTGTTCACTGGAGCCCTAACCCTGCTGTACTCTCTCTGTGCAGTCAGATTGCGGTGGTCCCCCGTCTTCTTTCTGTTTATTTATTCTGATGCTTAAACTGAGCTGATCCTGTTCTTCTGCAAGGGATCCCTCTTCTACAGAAGCCATCCTTCTGGGTGTCACTTCTAACGACAATGTTTGTTGTGTTGACTTACTAACTATACAACCCCACCCCCCCCCACCCCCCACCCCTATAAAAGAGGGTTCCTAGGCACCCTCTTTTATACTTTTTTGTCCATTTGTCTCCCTTTCTCTTTCCTCCTCTCTGGACATCCAATCACGCTGTTTACATATAATCACCTGATGTCCAGCCACACCTTATCAGCTTCTCCATCTCCAACCTTTCACCCACTTTTAACTAGGGCAAAGGTTACTTCATGAAAACCACTTTATCATATTTTTATCTTTTCTATGTTATTCTCAAATTTATAGATTCCGTTACATATGAGCATTCAGTCACATATCAATATAGTTCATTTTTCATGCAGTTTATGCAATCTTACTTAGATTTCATTAGCTAATTCTTACATTGATTTTTACATATTCTCTTTTGATTCAAATACATTGTTCTCTTCAAAACTCCTTGTTTGCTGTTCACAATGTATTCAGTGCAATTTCTTTTATTAAATCATACATTTAGGTCAGACATTCTTTTGGATCAGTGGCTCTTTGGTGTCGCTCACTGCCATCCTACAGACACCCCAGATCAGTATTACGGAATGAAGTATAATTAACTATCAGCAAAATCACAGATGAATTATGGTTCTGTGTTCATCTATTACAACACATAATACCATTTCTTGTGTTCAAAATCATGTAATGTAGCCGCACACAAACAGATAGGATATCTATCTCCTGACATTGGACTCGTCTCTGTGCTTGTCCTGCTACACCTCAGTGCAGCCTTCGATGCTATTGACCATAATATCCTATTAGAGTGATTAGAGCATGCTGGTATTAAAGGTACCAGACTGCAATGTTTTAAATCATACTTATCTAACAGACTTATATTTTTTCATAGAAATAGAGTGTTATCTTTACATACTAAAATTAATGATAGACTTCCGTTAATGCTTCTCTTAAACTCTATCAATAGAAGGCATAGCATACATTTTCTCTGCTGTGCAGAGTATCTATCAACAAAGCCAGATAACACACATAATGACCTTTAATTTCCTGCATCTAAATTCAGATAAAACTGAGGTTATTGTACCTAAATATCTAACCAGGCTTACTCTGGATGGCAGTACCTTGGCCTCCAGGAACACCGTGAGGAATCTTGGATTTGTTTGAGGATCAAAATAAAGAAACACAAAAAGAAGACTTTGAGGGGACCATATGGATATGTCCGTCAGTGTGCATATTAAACAAATATGTAGGACTGCTTTCTTCTATTTTGGCAATATCTCTAGAATTAGAAACATCCTGTCTCAGAGTGTGTATTTGTTCTTCACTCATTCTGTGTTAGCACACTAATCTGCGTTAAATCAGTGTTAACATTCCCAAGCCTGACTGGAGCAGCCCAAAAGCCATGGTGAGTTGGGGTTGCCTTAAGACACAGTCTTTCATTGCTGTAGTTGTAGGTTTAAGTGACTGACTTTGGCTGAGATTGTCATCTATTTGCCTTACTGAAACAGAAATCCTAAGAGGAGTGCTGGGCAAAAATGCACAGAAGAGAAAAAAGTAGTTTGTAAAAAGCACGAGAATGAATGGAAAGTTCAACAGGCAATGAGTGGAAAGCTTTTTTGTAGTGCTGTACTCTTGTGCACAGACTTATCGATTGCATCTTGAAATGAGTCATAACCTATGTATGTGTGTCTGTGTGTAGGTGTGTGAGAAGGAGAAGTTGCTGACTGAGAGGAACCAGCTAAAGGCATGTATGGGTGAGTTGTGGGAGAACTTCTCCTGCCTGTCACAGGAGGTGTGCAGGGATGTTCAGCTCAGCCCCGAGCAGGTCCAGTCGTTACACCACTACTGTCCCATGCTGCGCCCCGCCATCTCCACTGCCAGCAACAACACTGCCCACGAGCCCAAGGCCTCCCTCAGCACCAACACCACCACCAGCATTGACCTTACCACCCACTCGGGCTCAGCCACACCAGAACCAACCTTTCACGGTTCACCCGGGCCCTCGGAGAGCGACCCTGACGTGGCTGTCAGAAACAGGGCAGACAAAGATACAAACGGCCAAGACGCCACCAGCTTGTATACAAAGTCAGGGCCACCGGTGGAAAAATCCAACCAGACGGTAACGGTGGATTTTTGCCAGGAAATGACTGACAAATGTACAACTGACGAGCAGCCGAGGAAGGACTGTACTCAGTAGTGGTCGTTCTCTGTTTTGTTTTCTTTTTCATTATTTAATTTTGCTCTTCTGACAAACCCTCTCTCAGGGTTGTTGAGACAGTCAGCATCTGCCAGTGTTCAGTGAAAAACAAGCTTTGTTTGTATTTATATCTTTTTTGACGGTCGACACTAAAGTTGTCTTAACAACAGCAATACTGTTCTCCAGGAATTCTCCTATTACCGTGACAGAGTGGAACTTCTCACCAAACCCTTACGATGGTGCTATACTTGCCCCGGCAGCAACCTCTACAGTGGAGACTTTGTTCTTCATGTGTCACACATCACAACTCAAAGTCAAACCTCATTGGACCTAAACTGCAGCTCGCTTTGTCTCTCTGCATACCAGCAGTATGTCAGTTCCTGCCTTTGTCTTTTCCTCTTCTCTCCTTGCCACTCTGTCTCTCTCAATCTCTTCTACCTCTTTCTGTCTCACTCTGCATCTCTCTCTCTGTCTGTTTCTTCTTTCACTATATCTGAGTGACACTTTTGGTCACAGCAATTCAAACTCAGGAAGAAAAAAATCCTCTGAATGTTCAACCTAATTCATGAAAAATGAGAAAACGGCTTCTGTACACACGGAAGTTGCAAACTGTAAAATGTTCATATGCAAAAATGTCTTCAAACGTCTCTCATTTGTATTGCTGTACAGAAGAAATTTGTACAGATTGTAACCGAAAACATTCCTCCTATGCCTTCCACGTGGAATTGAAAGGAGAAAAAAAAGGCTTTTGCAGGCAGTTAAATGGCTATTTTTATTTCCCACTCATCAGCAATACCATTGTATTTGGATGTTGTACTGGTGACTTTCAAGTGCTTGTTTGGCAGAAGTGTATATAGCATGATGACTGTAACAGTGATTTTGTACAGCTAGACGCCTAGATGTTTCTTTTTCACCGGGGTTATAACAAGGGAAAAATTGTTGCTTTGCTGTTTCCTGTCCTGCCTAACGAACGAGGGGAGCGTTCTTATACTCAGGAGATCAGCTCGATACACATTTAGACACAGTACACACAGGCACGCACACATCGACACACACATTTTGAGCCCCTTGCATGTATAATTGAAGATGTGTTTTCGAGAGCGTGGCTCAGGCTGGCTCTTCTAAATCTTCGACACCTCTTTAAATGTGAAAAAAAAATCCTTGTGTTTTCTTTTTGTTTTTTAAGGAAACGTATTTGTTCCCAGAACTTTAATATATCCTATTTGTTTATACACAATGTTGTCATTTGATGATAGGAGACAGCAAAAAGCCTCTCCGATTTTTTTTTTTTTTTTTTCAAATTTATGTTGATTACGATAAAATTGACTAATGAAAAAATGAAAAAGCATACAAACATAAATCACGCACTTTTTTCCTGGCCCCAAGTAAGGGTCTTTACTTCAGACTGCTTAAAAGTCAGAGACTGGAGCACTTAAATTGGCAAAAAATATCTATGAAGAATATGAAAATATGCCGAAGGAAGCTAATATTTCATCTTACATTTTTATTTCTTTAGAAATTGAATAAGCTAATTCAGTTCCTTTGACGTGAAAGCAGTGTGTGTGTTGTTCAGATGATTGAGTAGCAATCATATAAGATAGTAAAGTGTTTAACCTACTTGTGCATTTGTTTTAAACACCCTACTTTGTAATGTGCATGCATGCTACCTAATAGCTATAAACCTAGTTAGTTGGTTTAGCTTTTTTTTTTTTTTTTTCTTTGTGCATTCTCTCTGGAACATTCTGCTATAAAAATGCATTTTCACATTTCTATATATAAAGAATCTGAAATATGTCAACCCTTGCTAGAGGCAGAAGTAGCAGAGCTCCACACTCCAGTGCAAAGGTTGAATGAAAATGTTCATTGCACTTTAAAGCTCCAATCCAAATTGGCACTCCCTATTAGCCTAACAGGGCTGAAGTTCATGTTTTTACTGTAGTTTCTTTCAAATGTTTCCTATAAAAAAGCTATGCTTATGTTAAAACAGATGAGTATCTAATACAGTACTTTGAAAATGAAATTCCTTAAAAGCTAAACCTTAATGTTAAACTCATTTATTAGCATAGTTGAAAAGCTGCTCTGTTGTCACAAGGGGTCACCATAGCAGGTAGCGCCGCACACAACCTCAAAGAGGATCCGTGTCTCCGGCCAGCGACCTTTCACGCAAATGTACAATCAGTAACATTATGGAGACACACAAGCTTATTTGCATTTAATAGCTTACTTGAACAAAATATACTTGTTTGAAATTTTTATGAGCCACTGATGTTCTCACGTTTTCAAGTTTTCTCTGTTGTCTAAACAGTATTGCCCTATTTTACTGCTTCCAGGCTAGCTGAAAGCCATTCAGCTGGCTTTGTCATACTAGAAACCTAATTTCCTCCATGCATGTGTGAAAATGCAATAGTTATGTAAGAAGTAAATTAAGTCATTTTAAAACTTTACTTTAAAGCTTTACATTTTTATTAATAAAACGTGTTTCTGTTTTGTTTTTGTTTGTTTTTTTCAAATAACCTGTAATACAAGATGCTAAAGAAATAGATTATAATTTTACTTAATAAAAATATGTTCCAGGTTTTAAGAATCTATAGCTAATTTGCCATCCGTAAACATTTCCTTATTAGGTTATCAAAAATTAAATAAATATTAGTGTCCATTTTATATGATCATTTGAACCTATTTAAGTGGGCCAGTAGCTTTTGATAGTGCTGTAAAAGGTATATGAAATGTATTTTATCAGGTTATACAGTGGTGCCCTCTTCCTGATTTCCTTTTTATATATGTTTGTCACAATTACACGTTTCAGCTCATCAAACAAATTTAAATATTAGACAAAGATAACACAAGATGAGATGTTTGTCCAGTCTCTTTCTTCTTATTGAATCATGAACATGTGATGGACATGTTTAATGTTGTTCTGGGTTCTTCTGTTACCTCCTGGATGAGTGCTGGGAGGTCACAGATCTGCTCTTGGAGTCATACTGGTAGGCCTGTCACTCCAGTTAATTACTGTTCCATGTTTTCTCTATTTGTGTATGATGGCTTTCACCGTAGTTACAAAGGCTTCAAAATAGCTTTGTAACCCTTAACAGACTGACAGACGTCAGTTACTTTGTTTTTCACCATTTTCTTTAGATCTTGACAGTCTTTTAGCCAGCTTCACCTTGTCAGACAGGTCTGTCAGTAATCAGGCCTGAGTGTGTTTAATGAAACTGAATTCAGCTTTTCAAAAAATGTGGTAAATCACTTTTAATTCATGATTTAAAAAGAGGGGCAATTATTTTGGATAACTTTTCTACCTCTATCAATGAAATCATCATTCAGCTTAGTCAGGTTATCTTTATCTAATATTAAAATTTGTTTGATGATCTGAAACAAGTGTGACAAATATGTAAAACACTAGAAAATCAGGAAGGCTTCAACATGTTTCTAACGATTTGTTTCAATTGTTCTCCCCGTGGCTCCGTATGTTTTCTTGAGGTATTCTAGATTCCTCCTCAGTTAAAATGTGGGCATGAACTGTGAAAGCCCTTAAAGACTGGTGACCTTTTCAGGGTGTACATCACACTCACCCTCTGACAGCTAAGATGGGCTCCAGCCCTGCTGCAACAATGAATGGGCTAACCAGTTGAGAGAATGGATAGATATTCCAGTTATCAACATAAAATAAAAACACAGAAAGGGGAAGAGTAAACTGTAATAATATATCATTTGACATCAAGAAAAGTAAATAATATTAATAATTGAATTGACTAAAACATGTCATTTAAATTTGTACAACTAAAGTGATTTATTCATTTTCTTAACCTTTTTCTTTTTTCAATTTTAGAGGTGACAGGAAATTCATTCATTTATTCATTTAATCGCAAAAGTCATTTCTAATGTCACTTTAATTTACTTTAGTGAACAGAATTTTAGCATGACATTTGGGGGATGTTAATATACCAAGCATAGCAATTAGCCATACTAGCCTTTTTGCTGATTTTGAGGGTTTTTTTTATTGTTTTCTACCCAAATGTTTCGAGGATTGGGGCTTTAAAGATTGCATGACATTTTTCGGAGTTCTCCCCATGACCTTTACTGATGTAAATCCTAGATGTAGTTTGAATGATGACCTTGTTTGTAAGATAATTTCTGTTTCACAGCCAGACAGAGAAAGTGTAACTGTAGTTTAAAAACCTGTTTTAAAATTGTTCAATCGTCCCTGTTTTGTACAAAGACCCACACATGCACACATATGATCACATACACGTACACGTATTGGCACAGAATGAGTGTGGAGCAATAGTGACTCCTCTACAACTGAGCTTGTTTCTTGTTTGTTGAACAGTTTATTTCTAATTTGTTCTTTTATTTGCGTGCACATATTTACTAAAGCAGAGCAGTATTTTCCCATGTTAGCATTCTGTCACATTCAAACAAGAGAACTAAAGCGAAATAATCGACATTTTGACATTTTCTACAAACATTATGCAACTCTTTTTCTAATTCTTTTGATTTGTTTAGAAACTGAGGAAACCTCTTTATATTGCTGTTTGCACACAATGAATTCAAACAGCTGTCTCATGGGAGACGATTAATTCCAATATTATCACAGAATTTCTCTGTGTTATTAATTTAACTTGACATTCCCATAGAGGGAAAATGAACGATGACACAACACTCCCCGTGCATGGTCCAAATTATGGGCATCCTCAGCAAAAATGGTGAGATAATTTAAACATCTTTATTTAACATCAACGCAGCACAGTTTGTACCATTGCTATCGCTAACACTGCTGTTTAAAATGCCACAACAACAAAAAAAAATGCTGTCTTGCCTCTACTGGTATCAACCCACACAGATGGTTTTGGTTTAATTTTGTCCAGATTTTAGTGCATGTGCTTTTCCCTGCACTCAACTATAATGGAAACAAAATTTCAGTCATTCATTGCATGATAATAATGCGATGATAAACTCTCAAACACTGACATGTCAAACCAAAGCTATCTGTAGAATTGGGAAATGTTTTATTGTTATTTGGGTGAACCATCCCTTTAATATCTCAGGGTGCCAAGCATTTACACCTGCTCTCTGCATTGTACTGAAGCAGACTATTTTTTTTTCTTTGTTTGTTTTTACCTGCTTTGTTTGTGCATCAAACCAAAATTTCCTTCAAGCGGTTTTGATATCATTTAACCTTCAGTGCTAATTGAAACCCACACCACTCTGCCCCGCCACCTCCACAATTTAAAAACTCACACACACTTACACACACACATAGCCACTCTCTTTGATGCTCCATTGTCCAGCTAGTGGCCAACGGTCTATTTCAGCCCTCTGTGGCTAATAGCACACAATGAATTAAACTATGCAGAACAAAGGCAGATGCACAGTCGATCATTCTCTGCATGTTCACAAAAAATATGAATTAGTGCAGCTTTAAAGTGATTGAACACAAGTAAAATGAATTATGAATTTGATATTTTGCTAAATGAACTTTTCCTGTATATTTTTTACAGTCAAACAATGTGTTTATTGCCATTACATCAGTTTTTAATTATGTGCACAATTTTGCTGTTGTTGTAGCTCTTTTTGGTTGTTTTTTAATTTTGGATTTGTTTTGTTTTGGGGGTTTGTTGTCATTGCTTCTCTGAAACAAACACTGGCTTTTTAACTCCAAAGGTTGTTCTATTGAAGAATACGAACAAAAACATGCCTTTCTCACAGATTGTTCAACTTTCTTGAAAAAAAAAAAAAGGAAAAAAATTCTGGTTTCCTGGTCGAGTGCACAGGTTGAGATCACTGAGTAGAGTATAAATATAGAATATGTTTACAAATAGGTGTCATGTCACATTTGATCAATTTTTGCCATGTAAAACTTGCTCGGTTCAGTTGAACCGATTCTTGGTGTTGTGGAAGAGACAGAATGAGTTTCCTCACCTTGTCTTTAATCCAACTATTGGGATGGGTCAGCATTACATGGATACAAGTGCACCTCCAATATTTGCCTTAGAACTTGCAGAGGCCATAGTTCACATTTAAGTGAAGCGAGTGTATGCAAGGGCCTGAGCCCCCATCCCTTAGTCACCAGTGCGGACTTTCTCACACTTATCTACCTGTGAAATCCTTCATACCTCTCATAACTGGTCAATGACTGTATCAGCAAACTGCATCAGGTGTTTTTTCTACATGCTTTTTACACAGATTATATGGATTATTGTATTAGTAGGTGCATCATTTTTAATGTAATAGCTCTTAAGCTTGTAGGTGTTGTTTTTTCTCTCATTTTTCTAAATGACTGTTTTGTGTTAATATTGTCAATTTGAAATTACTGTCATTTGCTTATTCTCTACTAAGAGTTCTTACCTAATTTTAAATGCTACATGACCCTAATTAATTAAATGACTTAATAACCATTGTAAATACGGTATTGTGAGAACCCCATTTTCATTCATTTCTATTGCTAGTGTTATATAAATGATTTTTTTTTTGTCTAGACACCATTTCTCTTTAAGAAATAAAGAAACATGCATATCATGTGTTGTGCTTTGTTTTTCTCTGTTTTTGGTCAACATTTGAGGTAAATGTCTCCTTACCTTTAATTATTCCACTCAACAATCTTTGTGTTTAAGCCTTTTCACTTAAAAAACACATTTAAATTACTTTAGCTGATAGTATGCATACATCTACTGCTAACATTTTTATATGCTACTTTAACACCAGCAGATTTGGGCACTGATCAAAAAAAAAAAAAAAGGTAAATCTGCATGCTGTGGCGACTGTAACTTAACTTTAAATTCAGTTTTAGCTAAACAGTGCCTGTGTGTGTGTGTGTGTGTGTGCGCGTGTGCGTGCGTGCGTGCGTGCGTGCGTGCGTGTGTGTGTGTGTGTGTGTGTGTGTGTGTAAATTCCCCACTCGTCCTGTGGGCAGTCTTCATCCTTCAAGCTCAGGTCCTCTGTTGTGCAGATCTCAGATATCATTTGTGGGATCTGCTGTAGCTGCTCACCCAGTTTGGGGCTTAAAGCCCTGACTGCAATCATTACCATGGGGACTATTGTTGCCTTTGACTTCCACACCTTATTTAGCACTTTTCTCTGGCCTTTGTATTTTGCTATTGTCTTGTGGTACTTTGTTCTAATGTTGCTATCACTTGTTATAGCTACATCTGTCACTGTGCCCATATCCCTCTGCTTGTCCACCACTACTATGTCCAGTTGGTTAGCCATCACCAGTTTGTCTGTCTGTATCTGGAGGTCCCACAGGATCTTAGCTCCATCATTCTCAACCACCCTAGAGAGCGTATCTTATTTTGACCTTGGGACTTCCAGGCACAGATGTTCCTGTATACTATGATAGACAGCTTTTATGGTGCTCCATGTATGCCCTGCCTGCTAGCATTGCACTTGCACTCAGCTGTTATATGCTTGATTGTCGCAGAAGCATCTTTATACATCCAGTACTGCCATGATTGGTGTCACAATGATCTTTCTTGTTTCATCCTGGATAGTCGTTCTGACACTCACTAGTACTGTACTGTAAGCCTCCTTCTTTCCGCTTACAGTACAGTCTCAGGATACTGGTATAGGAGTGAAACCCTCCATAGTAAGGAGCTTCCTTCTCTTGATGTCAGTGGTTTCTATCTCCTCCTTTTGCCATCCCAGCAGGGTATCTGATTATTATTAATCAGATTCAATTATTAGGCCCCTCTACTATGGAACTAGATGGGAGGTGTATACAAGAGTATGTAAAAACAATAATCAAAATACACATTCCATGGTTTCAAAAAATGATATGTAGCCAGCTAGCTAACTAGACAACTAGTAGTTTATTATAACATTTTTAAAATGTGTGGTATGCATTCACAAGGAGATATGGGAACCTAAACAACACAAAGTTCAAAGAATGTATTTTTCTCTCGCAGATGGTAGTGGTACCACGTGATACTATATCTTCAACAGTGACAGGCAATATTTTTTAGCTTCACTTTTGCTTTGTACACAATTATATAATACTAATAATAAGCCATAAACACCAATTCCAAGAATTCTTTCTCTTTTTTGCAGTTTCAGATTTCCCTATTTCCTGTTTATTCTGACAAATATCTTCGAAGACTTTTAAACTGATTTGATAAATACGTGCTTTGACACAAATAGCATTTGAATTCATGCCTGACTTCTCCAAATTCTCCAAAACTACCCACAAAGTAGCTCACAATTTATAGACAGAGCAGATAAAATAAGTACTGAATATGTCATTAATTTTCTAAGTAATTGTATCTCTAAAGGTACTATTGATATGAAATTCCTACTAGATGGCAGTAACAACCCATCAATTCCACACATACAAAGAACTCAGACCACGTGTTGATAAATTAGTGGTAATAATGAGAAATGATGCTGTGAAAATGTATTGAACACGCGGCTGAAATGAATTTAATACCTCTTACAAAAGCTGTTGGTGGTGATGACAGCTTCAAAATGCCTCCTGTATGGAGCAACTAGTTGCATGTATTGCTCAGGTGTGATTCTGGTCCATTTGTCCACACAGTCTTCAAATCCTAAACCAGACCGTTTGAAATAATGATACCTGCTGTTTCAAGTAGTCCTTGGACAACTTTTTTGATCATTCTTTTCATTCTTCTAGTAAATGGATTGGCACTTTTTCTACACTATCTGAGAACTCAAAGGGCTTTACACAACTTGCTTAATTCACGCATTCACACCAGCACTTTTTTCTTTGCTCTTTTTGTCTAACATGCACACGCATTCATGCTCCGATGCATCAGAGAACAACTTGGGGTTAGTATCTTGCATTTTTCCCAAGGATATTTGGCATGCAAACTGGAGGGATCAAACCACTAATCATCTGTTTAGCAGATTACACAGCAGATGGCCGCCCCTCCCTGAGCCTGGTTCTGCCGGAGGTTTCTTCCTGTTAAAAAGGAGTTTTTCCTTCCCACTGTCGCCAAAGTGCTTGCTCATAGGGGGTCACGTGATTGATGGGTTTTTCCCTGTATGTACAATTGTAGGACCTACCTTACAATATAAAGCGCCTTGAGGCAACTGTTGTGATTTGGCACTGTATAAATAAAACTGAATTTAATTGAGTTCAGATGACTTGGTTTACTGCCTGAGCTACATTCACCTTCTGTCTCAAATCTTGAGGGAAGCACTTGGTAGCGGCCGGTTTGTGGTGACATTTGTTCTTTCCTCTTTCAAACTATGCCCCCAACAGTGCTCACTGGAACCTTCAGTAATTTAGTAGTTTCTTTAGTAATTTCTTCTGTAACCAGTGTCATCAGTATCATCAGTTACCCATCATGAGATGCTTCTTGTGTGACATCTTGGTAATGAGACACCTTTTTTTAGGCCATTAGTTGGAACTGAAGTGGCAGGATTGCTTTCAGCTGGTGCCATGACTCTCCATGCCTTTTTGCTTTCTTCATGCATTCAGTACTTTCTCCCAATGCCATTTTTTCATTTTCACACATAGCTTAATTTCTGGACATCTATGATTTGATTTCTCGCATGAGTGGATTGGATGGGTAGTTACCGACATCTGGTGATGTCAACAAACCTTTTGAAATAGATTTATTTAGAAACGTCAGTATTGACGTTTTCAATACTTCTTTTATCTGGTGTAAACTTATAATCAAACAGTTGATAGGAATAGCAATTACACATTACATAAAGCAAATTAAGTGTCTCTTGGATGTGGAAAATAACTAAATTATTCATGCAGAAAACATACTGTATAAGCACACTGTGGACATATAATGTTGCTGCAGAGAAACAGGATGAGACTCTGTTTGAAATCAGGCTCCTTTGGCTAATTTAGAACTCCCATTGGCACTCGTTTGGTCCCAGAACTGTACTTTATAGTTTACTTTTTCATGATTGAAGACAGCTCCAGAATCATGCTCTGAAAAGGGAAAAAAATAGGTACAATGTATAGTTATTATTCTTGTCATAGTCATGATGACACGTTTATGTTTTGTTTTCTAACCTCAAGTAGTATATAGTAAATAGTAATGTTTGACTTTCTGCTAATATCTCAAGACTATCTTGTCTTGAACAGTATTAGAAAAATATATGATAGTGAGAAAATGTCTGTAAACAAGCTTGACCTTTGTTGTGGTTGAAACTGACAGGTTACTTATTTATTTTATTTTATATTACTCAATTCATAATGATCACTGGAATTAATGAAATAAAAAGGGTTTTCAACTGAGTTTATTCAAGTAAAGTTGATTGCTATCACTGACAACAGATTTCACCAAGGAAGGGAGGAACTGAGAATGATGTTGATTATTAAGCAGCAGGAAATGTAAAGTAGTTGTGGGCCAGCTAATGAGATTTTCCAACTGGATATGTAAAAGGGTATGAACTGGACTGGCACTGAGATCATCTGATCAGCTGAGCTTTACATTGTAGATGTAGCTGCATTTGATTTTCAATATTTATGTTTACTTTTTGACAGAATGAAATTAAAAAAATATATCTATGTGACTGGGTGTGGTTTGTGGCTCAGCTGCAGGAGAGGGGTGGAGCGATGGGTTTGGGATGTGGTGTCATGGGAGGCTGACCCACACAGCCTCCCCGGGTTGCCGTGACCTGACGGGTGTGTGTGGTGTGAAGCAACAAAGGTAGCTGGAAGGCTGCTCTAATAAAAGCAATGGAAAACACCGCTTGACTTGCAACGCTGTGTACTTCAGGAACTTCTCATTACAATCTATGGTAAATTTTTTCTTTGGTCATAACTCCATCTTACAACATCATTCGGACTAATTACACTTGAATTGACAAAAAAAGTGGAGTTGGAGGGAATTTAAGGTAGCTTGACTTGATCAGACAACAAACAAACAGTGTATCTATAACCAAATCTTTCAACAAACAAGTACACGCTAAATCACACATATGAGACTAAAAGCCTTTATTAATAGCCAAAAAGAGACATTAGCTTACCATGGACATCCTCCTCCCTCCAGCTGGAGGTGGTGGAGACACCACTGGACTCTCCCCCTCGCTAAGATGCTGGGATGCATTGTCCGTTCCACTCTGACAGTCTCCACTGTCAGACGGACTGGCCAGCTTGCCCTCCGACAGTCCTCTGGACATAAAACTGCATTTTCTGGCTGTGGGATAGTGTTCACTCTCCGGAGAATCACTCATATCGCTGAGCTCCTTACATACACTCACTCTGCTCTGCTTCCTCTGTGGGTTTCTAAGGGCTGCTGGGATTTCCATGTGGCCGGCCGTCAGTGTAGGTCGAGGCCCCACATAGTGTGGTTTACCAGAACCATGGGGTCCATTTGAGTCATCGCTGCTGCATGACGGTTTGCGATTTTCCAGAGTGTAACGTCGTTCCATGACACCCAGCTGGTGCAGACCTTGGATTTCAGCTTGGCTGGGGCGGCAGGAGATGCTGTGACCTTCGATACTCTGAGGGGCCACTAAGGCCAAATTCAAAGGCTGACTCTCTCCGTGAGTTTCAGGCACAGCAGAGCAGGTCATCTGCGTGAGCTGGATTAATCTCTGTGGTGAGGAATTTGAGAGCACACAGATCTGCTGCACCATGGAGTTCTTCTTTGACCTGCACATACTCTCATCATCCCCATATTTATATCCATACAAGATTTGTTTAATCCTCTTCACCCCCAAATGGGAAATCTCTAGGAGATTGAGGAATAAAGAAACTCCGGCAATAACCAGCATGAAAACCATGAAAATGTTCTTCTCTGTCGGTCGTGACACAAAACAATCAACGCTGTTAGGGCAAGGCATCCTTTCACATTTGTAGAGTGCAGACAGTCCAATCCCATACAGAGCAAACTGTCCTATAATGAAACCCACCTCCACTACAGATCTGGTCAAAATATGGAAAACATATGTACGCAGCAAAGAGCCCCTGAGAGGAGCTTTCCTTACTTTCTTCTGTTCATCTAATTTCCTGAGCTCTTTCTCAATTCTTTTATGGTCATCCAGGACGGGATCTGTACCTTCCAGCTCAGCTTTCAGACACGCTTTCTTCCTGTGTCTCTCCTTCTCAAGGGTCCTCAAATGATACAAGGCGTGACCCATGTAGACCAGAGAGGGTGAGGATACAAAGATAATTTGCAGGACCCAGTAGCGGATGAGAGAGATGGGAAAAGCTTGGTCGTAACAGACAGTCTTGCAGCCAGGTTGCTCTGTGTTACAAACAAACTCGCTCTGTTCATCATCCCAGACATCCTCAGCTGCGACGCCGAGCACAAGCATCCGGAAAATGAAGAGGATTGTGAGCCATATCTTCCCAACGATGGTGGAATGAATGTGGACCTCTTCTAAAATACTCCCTAATAGATTCCAGTCCCCCATCTTCTGTCATATTAATATTACCTGTGAACAAAAGAAAACTTTGTAGTTTGCAGGTCTTTCTACAAATTTAAATCATGCAGCAAAATGTACTTTACTTACATATTTTCTAGAGTCCTCGTCCCTGTGTGTTTTGGCATAAGGCCATTAATCAAATTGTAGATTCGAGTGTGGTGTAAGTGTGATATTTTAATCCCTTGGAGACAGACAACACCCTACTGTGCAGTCTGACTGACACTATTTTAAAGCTGGAAAGTAGGTCGGTTTGAAGCTATTGATCCATCAGTACCATGACCTTATAATGCCCTGAGGTTAGGTTCATCCTGCCACTTTTGTCAGGACACTAAACTAGAAATAGCACCAACTCAGATGCCAATACACAGCTCTGGACAATGTTTTCAGACTCATTACTTCTAATCTTCATGCAACCTTTTTCTAAATCTTGAACTCTAGGTTTTTGATAGTTTCAGGTTTTATGCAGTGAATGAAATGTGCCAGCATGCATGTCTTCAATAATCTTTCATCTTTGTTGTAACTGTTTTTATACTGTTTGTATAGTGTGCTAGCTAAGGAGCTAGCACACTGTCAGTTACACTATCACACCTTTTCACACAGGGCTCTGCGGGTTCCATAATAAACACTCTCATTTAGAAGCTGCATTTTTTGTGTTGTATTATCTTTCTCTAACATTTAGATTTGTTTGATGATCTGAAACATTTCCGCGTGACAAACATACAAAAAAATAGGAAATGAGGAAAGGCGAAAACACTTTTTCACACCACTGTAACGCGATGTGGAATTTTATTATTACTTAAAAGGACAAGATTGCAGTGGTAAAGTGGACAGAACAGAAATAACATAGTGCTAACAGAACTATCATCTGCATAGATAACATGTTAACGCAAACCTAGACTACAATCCAGAAGAGTCTTTGTTTGTATTCAGAAGGATAGGGATTTGTGTTGGTATGTGCCCAACGTTTATATTGTTAACTGGTAATTATGGGAGAGTGCGCCATTTTAGGAGTAACGAGAAAGTAAGTAGCAGTAACACAAATTACTTTCTCTTGCGAGTAATTTAAGTAATATATTGCATTACTTTACTGAAGTGGAGCTCGTCAATACTGAGAGGTTGCTGTTGTTGAGAGTTCATATTATTCCATAGGCCTGTGCAACCAGTGACATGAAAACGTTGAATGTGTAAATGAGTCTTACCTGATACAGAAATGGTAATTAAATATTTTGGAGTTCAGCGTGTCAAAATCAATGAATTATTAAATATTTTATGATTACATTTTAAACTTTGCTTTCTGTTTTTCTCATAAATTCTCCCCAATAGAACAAAACTGATGTCTTGAGTTGAGCTGGTCAAATTCCTTTAGAAACATCATATTTTACTGGGGAAATGCAAAAAAAGTTTGTCTGGCAGCACAAATGAACCAGCTGCTAACAGATGAGACAGTCTCAGGATCAGTTAGCTATTACAGGTTACTCTCATGACTGAAACGTTTCTTCCACTGAAAACGCTACCCCCAGATGAACAGAATCAACCTGGTTGATTAAGCATGCACCATGACATCTGCATTCAGTTTTCCCCAAAGTCACCTAACACAAGGGTACAATGGTGATGAACATTTGTTTGTCTGCAGCGATGGAGAGCCATCACACATTTGGGGAAAAACACACATTTCTCACCAAACGGGGTATCCAACGTCCAAAAGCAGAGAGGACACCCAGTGCTCAAAATGCAGCATCCTCAACAGTCTCTAGGATGATAGTGATTACTGAGGCCAACAGCCCACTCAAGTGCAAACAAGCTCTAAATGTGACTGTTTACCTTGGGGAACAGAGCTAGTACTAGTGAAATTTTTCCAATTTTGTGACAGAAAAACCAAAAGTTTATTATAACCCAAATATTCTATTCCGTGAGTGAGAGACAGCGCACTCTTGTTACAGTTGATGATGAAATCTAAACTAAATAGGCTGCATATCAGAACATGGATATTTTTTTCCACTTTCTTTCTGCTAGAAGCACATGCAATCAAATCAGCTGAACATGTGAACACTCTATTATAAAGGGGGTCAGGGGACCCTGTGTCCTTGAAATGATTGATCGGTCTTAGACCAATGTGGTGGAAGTGGAGCTTCAATGATTGAGTGCACCAGAAGGCACCCCCATAGTGAGGTCTGAAAGAGAACCAGGGCTTAAAGTGAGATTTGGCAGGTTGGTGAACAATAAATGCTGGTGTAGCAGAGAAGCAAAGTAAATGACTCAATAAGAAAGATGCTGTACTGTGATTTCTACACAAAATATCCAGCTAGTTCTTTATGGTTTGTCCACACATGATGTTTTGAAATACATGTATCACCATTTTCTCTTTTATAAAACAATTGAAAATGTGCAAAATATGGGGTGACATTGTTTTCTCTGCAGTATCACCTGGAAGCAGAACAGAGGATCATTTGGATAAACCTTTGGAGACATCACTGCAAAACATATTAATCATTCAAGAAAACAAATGAGATGATTACTGCATAGCTTTGACCCATCGTAACCCCTGCACGTAATGACAAAATCCATATTGTTGATTTTATATGCCTTCAAAAATTAGCAAGTTTAATGTGGCTTGTTGTGGTTCAGGAGTTTTAATGAAATGAGGAATGAACCCTCCTTCATTTTCAGTCTGTAACTGAAGATGCTGAACCCACAGTTGGATCATTGCACCCATCAGATTTAAAAAGCACATAGTAATTGGAAAAACAAACAAACACTTGAACGACTGTATTTGATGAATCCAGCTTGTATGTAGAAAAGTGTGGCACCAGTCCATTAAATAAATAAAACTTTTATTTTCAGTAAAGAATTTTTTACAATATGTCATTACATAGTTCTCGTTAGTAACAAGCAAACTTGTCACTGCAGCTCACAGATACGAGGGTTCATTCAGTCATTCTCTCACACACACGCACTCACAAATTAAGAAATGAATGTAATGATGTAATGTCTTTTACTTTGAGTGAGCATGTAAACAAATGTATGAAGCACTCCCTTCCCACACACAAACACATCTATTAAAACAAGATCCAACATTTAACACAAAATTTAACACTGACTCCAAGTCAAAAGACTAAAACTATGAGCCCTGTAGATCAAGGTTTAATGGCAGGTCATGTGTTAACCTCTAAACTAAGAATCTGACTCAATATGTAAAATATAGTGAGCATACTTGTTTTGGAACCTGAAATCTTCTCATTATGAGGGTAGTTTCCCCCAAATGCTTGGAGAAAAACTAATTTACGGACGTGGGAACTGATATTATGACTCATTAACTGTTTTGAGATCTGCAATGTCTGCAAAAGTCGAGATAGGAAGGTAAAAAAGGTGGAATCCTGTGGCCCACATCACGTCCTTCTGTGATGATCCTGTGTGGCTTGCTAAAAATCTCAAACGTTTTGAATTCCTTTCTCAACAGCAAGAGCAGGTACAGTTCTGCATCTGTAACACAATATCCTTAGAGACAGTTATGAATTCCCAGCCTTTGACTCAAACCAAGCTCCAGATTTTGACAGATACAGCACTCTGTGTGGTGATCAAGTCATCATATCACCTTAATTATTGGCACATGTATGAATATGCTCCAAAATAAGAACCATATACACAAATATTCAGAGGCATCAGGTGTCCATCTTCTTAAAAAGCTTCATGAGCTGATAAAATCTGTGAGCAATCTGGGGAAAACAAACAGTTAACAGTTACTGGATGCTTACACTAAACAAAAGTAAAGAAAAAGAAAGAAAGAAACAAGATTTATCTACCTGGCCTGAAGGCTTGTTAAGTTTCTCTGACAAAGCAGAGAAAGTCTCGCGTGAAGCGCCTTTTGTCTTCATGTCCATGAGAATAGCTCGATCTTCATCTCTGAAGGAGATGAAAGATACTGAGTAGTCTATTTAATTAGCTAAACTTCTTACACAGTAACAATACAAATAATCATTAGTGGCAGCCCTATAATGTAGAATGAAACATTAAAAATACATTCAGTGAGACTATTCTGATTAGATGAGCATAAACTACCAGATCAAAATCTCTTCTTTGATAACAAGGCTGAATTTTGGCAACACTTATACAAGGTACACAGACACAATACATTCAGATAACTGCAAATTTGCCACCACAATGAGTTAAACAACCCAAAAATGTAATATTTATTAATGTCCACAGGTTCTAGCCCTCAGATAGTTATTGATCCCAAGGAGCCTTATCTGTGTATTAAAATTACTTTGATTATTATATTGTTAGTTTCATCAATTAATTTTTAACTTCTAAACATGGGGGACAGTGTGCAAAACTAGTTTCAACTCCCCCCAAAATACAGACATATTTAACAAAGCTCTTGTAGTGAATGGACCAGCACTCATACAGAGCCCTTTGAATCTTAGCACTCAAAGGACTTCCTATGTTTATACAGTGTACAGCAGTAAAAGCCAAACTGACAGCCACTTGAACAGCACATGTACTAGAGCTGTAACCTCAGCTGGTTCGTTGACGTGCTCATTCAAGGAGAGAGAAAATGTTTCATCAATAGGCTGCAAGTGTCAGAGCTAACTTATTTAATGTTTAGACGGAGTTGACTTCAAACCAGCTGACACCATTTCAGTGTGGCTTTATTTTGTCTAACATTTCCACAGCTTAACAACCAGCAAGCCATATTAATCTATATCAGCTTTGTTAGAAAGATGACGTTAGACCAGTATGGCCAGGGATTACAGATATGCAGTGTCTATAAGTTGCAATGTTGAGTCTGCGAGGAGGCCAACAGGTCCATCACAGGTCAACTTCTATTTGACATTTTCTGCTGAAATATTGTGAAACCAATACTGACTATATGCAACTAGTATTCATTCTTCTATTCAGACACTCCTTGGAAAGAGAGAACACGATGCACTTTACTACTGACCTAGTCCAGGCCATCACCACCTCGCCTTTCTTCCTGATGACATTCTTGGCAGACAGACTGCTGGGAGACAGACAGCCCATAGATGATTTGGAATCTTCATCTGCTTCCTTGGAAGGAAGCACGACTTCTGGACTCTTTTTTTCCTTCCTCAACCTCTTCGCTTTTGATTTGTCCTGGTGCTTCTTTCGTTTTCTGCCTTTGTCGGGTGAACTGCTCGTGTCCTCTGCTATCACGAGGCTTCTCTCTGACTCAGATATGTCCACATCATTGTTCTTCGAGTCTGACACGTGTGAAGACAATTTTCGGCTCCTCTGATTTGTATAAGAG